TAGCTCACAGGGTAGTCTTAAGTTCATCTATCAGGTACCTATAAATATAGGCACATAGATCTATTTCCCCATCCTCATATATAAATATATTTGCATATGTACATGTCTTTATCTAGACCTCTATATGCCCTTTGCCTGCCTCTGGGAGGTTTTGACCCGAATGCCCTTTCATTTGTGACCCCTTGGCTTAAGTGGCACGGCCCCAGGAAAGCATAGTGCTGGGTAACTGACATGTAAGCGCCAAGGCAGTGTTTCTGTGGTGCAAGTGCCTGCTCCCTCTTGGACGCACTAGTCAGAGGCCTTCTACCGAGCTGCGAAGGCAGGTTCTTGCCTTTCTACAGGTAGGGAACAGCAGCAGGAGGGCCTTGGTAACTGGTCCCAGCTAATCAAGAGGACCCAGGCCTCTAATGTGGGGCTGGGGCCTCAGTGTCCCCAGACATCTGTGCCAAGCAAGGTCTTGTCTACATATACCTTCTACCAACTACAAATCATTGGAAATGCTGGCCATTGCAACATGCACCTGAACCACACGATGTGCTTTAAAAGCAGCAGGTTGCAGCATAGGGTGACACCCTTGCTCTTTTGGTGAGGAAGTCTCATCTCTTTGGCAGGAGCACAGGGACCAGTGGCCTCCTGTGACACAGGCCCTCCTCCCGTGTGACCACTTGTGCAAGGGCCTTCTCCTTTGAGGCCTACCACCCACTAGGCGATGGTACTTAAAAGTTGCCCTTGCCTTCCGCCACCTGGCCCACTGGTGCCCCCTGATCCGGGGGGATTCCAACACTGCTCCTCATGCCCCGAGAGCTCACTGGGGAATGGCAAGGTCACTGGGGCGGAATGGCGGGCTGACCAGCGCCACCAACTAGACTCGCAGGCTACAAGCCTGTACGTACCACGAAGGGGCCTGGCTGATGAAAGAACACACGGACCTGCTTTGCTGTGCACTGCGGTGCCAGCTCTCTTCTCCCCGAGCACAGGCTGACGCACTGGGGCGGATGCAGGCTGTCAAATGTCCGGCAGCGCTGTCGGAAAGTCTGAGCCAGGTGGGTGCTGGGGCTAGAGCCAGACCACACCACGTGACTGCTAGCCAGAAAACGCCCAAAGCCAGCAAGGGGAGCCTAGTGTGCGAGGACCCCGATTGCGAGGCGGCTTCCAAACGGTCCTGGGAAAACTCCATTATCTTCCAATTCTATTTCCGCATGAACTTTGGGAAGCCCCTCACCTGCTCCACCTGCGGCACGCAGCGGCCCTGGTGGTGCAGTGGTGAAGCGCTTGTGTGCTAACCTGTCCAGTGACATGAGAAGGGGGTGGCCGTCTCCTTCCCTAAAGGTGCCAGCCTCGGGAGCCCGCACTGTCCTGTGTGTGTCGGCTTGCTGGGAGAGGGTTTGGTGGTGAGTGGGCAAGGTGCAGAGCCTGGGCATACATGTTCAGCTGCTGGATTAAGATGAGGCAGCGGTGGCTGACCCGGGTGGCTGTCATGCGGGCGCCTGTGGGTCGGGACTCCCGAGACCACTTGGGGTCGGGTAGGTGGGAAGAGGT